CATTAAGAATTTATAAATTGGTTGCATATTAAATATAAACTCATTTGTTTAATACATCAAATCACAAAATTATCACAAGTTGACAACCTATGTAAATTTAACGAAACTAGAAATGGGCTCTAAAAATGCGTAAACGTTCTCATTAAATTTTTAAAATATTCGCACCTTTTTTGCAAGTTGTTATGCGGTGCCGTGCCAATCAAATTACAATGCTTCAAAAAAATAAGGATATCAATGGTAAACAAATGCCAATGGCAACATGGCGTATTTAGAATTTTTTTTCCCCAAGATGTTCTTTTATAATATAAGGAAAAAATTATTAATAAATTTATTAATTTTATCGAAGAAAAATGTGATCAAAAGAAAATTTTAACGATGTGAATGAGAAAATTTTTCTTAACATTTTCTTTTTCTTAATATTTTGGGATGTTCATTTCCACTTTAATTACTTCCTCATTTCGATCCACCCATGGACAATGCTTCTAAAAAATAAAATGATTATTAATTATGTGATATTTAAAGGGACTATATCAACAATAAGTTATATATAACTCACGAGTTGCAAAAAATTTTGATTAATTTAATCAAAACCAAATTAGTTTTAATATTAATTAGTTTTAGAGGTGATAAAATGAATCTAAACTCGAAATTTTATTTAAAAAAGTCAGAATTTGAATCTAATTATAAAACAATTTAAACTTAAAAACTATATTGAAAAGATTATTTCTTAGATAAAATCTAAAAATGATGATAGGTATCATTTAATCGGGTATTTGGCACTGCTCAATCTAATTATAGCAGGTTTAGAAACCCTACAATTGGGTAATTAATGGGTTCAGGTATGAGGGTTACTACCCGTAACGGGTTCAAGTAGCATCCCATGGGTACCCTATACTCGAACCCAATTAGTTTTTTTATCTGGGTAGTATTGGGTACTCTAACCCGTCACGTGTTCATGTTGGCAAATATAAAATTAAGAATTTTGCCAAGTGAATCAATTTTAGAATTTAAAATTATTTGCTACTAAAATTATATTATATGTAACAAACTTACTTAAAGTATAATTGTCTAAGTGTAATGAATTGTTATAATAAAATTAATTTGGGGATTAAATTAATTAATTATACTCAATATTTTTAAATTTAAATATAATTTATAAAATTAAATTAATAAAATTTTGCTCTAAGCAAAGATACAACTCTTAACATATTGACATAATATAAGATATAAATCTTAACACACACATATGTTATATTTTCTTTGTAGGTTTTTATAATAAAATAAATAAGTTTTTTATTTGATTAAAAAAAAAAGAATTGAGAATGACAATCTATACTTAGTAGCAAGTATGGTCATTGGTTAAAGTAATATAGATTAAACATTACTAATAATCTAACATACATAACACAAAAACATACATTCAAAGTATTCTAAGAAAATATATATGTTTTTATAAAATGTTATAGTATGTTATAACATAGTTAACAATTTGTTATGACAAGATACATATATAAATGACCTAGTTTATATAAATGATATTATACATTTGAAATTAAAAGTAATATATTTATTTTAAATAATATGTATAATGATAAAATATCATATAATTTATTCCATATCGCATGATAAGATTTTTATAATATAAGGTGCAAATTCTTAAAATAAGATACATATACTAATTTATTTTATATAAATTATTTTAAATCACATGATAAGGGATTATATATTTTAAAATTAAAACTAACACATTTAAAAGTATATTTAAAAGATTATTTTATCTTTTAACAACTATATTTTATAATATATAAGATAAACAAACGATTTTGAACAAAATTTTTAGGATTCAATTAACAAATAAGCCGATCATGGATAAGGGTATGTTTAGTTTGTTTAAATCATTGAAAGTTGATTACTTTGAGTTTTAATTTTTTAATAATTTATAAATTATCATATAAATTTTATATTATTAAAAATTACACATGATCCAGAATAAAAATTTTCTTTAAATTTTTACAATATTATTATAAGATAATTTTTTTATATGCTTAAAAATTATACTTAATAAGCTTAAAAGTAAATGTTTGAAAAATAAAAAACTTGTCCTTACATTTATTCCACATCGACTCAACAATGAAGATAAAAGGGGGATGAGTGTATAAGAACCATTGCCTTGAATTTGGCTCACTTTGCTACAAAAATCAATTTTTGATTAAATTTATTCTAAAATATAATACATTTCCTATTCAATCACTTGTCATGGTATTAATTTATAAAATTTAGTTAAAAAAAAATAGTATTTACAATTACTAAATTTTTTACTAAATTTAGTGTAATGAGTAGAATTATATCAACTTTAGTTGAGAAAATTATCAACAAAGTTAAAAAATATATTATAATAAATATAAATTTAGGACAATTATGTTTTTTTTTTATATTTTATTGACAAAATTATCAATAAAATATACAAAATTACTCACTTTTACATAAAAAAATTTATCTTTTTTAATTCTTTTATTTTTTGAGTGCAATAAGATAAGCTAATTTTTTGGATTACATAAAATTAATTATTATGAATAATATAATTTAAGAGTACAATGATTATCTAGTTTTTTTTTATATAACAAATTTGCCTGAATACTTTACATAACCATAGAATTTAAAAATTATTTTGAGTAGAAAAAGCAACCGAAATATCATTGAAATTTTAATAAAGATTAAAAGATTAATTGAATAAAACCGATCGTAAGAAAAAATATAATATATATTTTTTTGTTTAATTAAAAACTATTTGAAAAAACAATGACAACGTTGATATATTTTGGGAACACCCTGAAAAAAAAAACATTAGATATCATTTTCAAGATCACTGTAATGATTTAATTATCATAGTGATAACATCATTAGACTAATTCGATCACCAATAATCTTAAATTATCATATTTAGTATAATATTATAAATTATTAGTGTTTTTAAATCATTGTATTTGATATTATATGAAAAAATAAATCATATAATACAAAACATCCAAAATAATTTTAAAAAAATAAAATATTTAATACTAATTGAATGAACAATTTATAAAATAGGTAAATGTTATTTTATAGAAACTACAAAAATAAAGCCTTTTGCTAAAAATAATTTCTAAAAAATTATTAAAGGAATTTATTATTTTTTTCTAATCAATATAAATTTATAACATAAAATTTTTTTAAAATAAGTGATTAAAATTTTTTGTTTTTTAAAATTTTTAGTGAGCAGCTTCTTGGAGATAAATATATTTTTTGTGAGAGTAAATTAATTAAACAATAATATTGAAAATTATTTTTCATTGGGAAAATTATTTGGTTGCCGGCTTTTAGTTGAAAAAATGTGGGAACGGAGCTTCATGTACGAGGGACTGTCGGAGGGCGATTACAGCTAGGGCTGCCCCAAACATTCCCCATATATCAAATGAATTTTTTTTTTTTAATAAATGTAATTAAACAATTATTCATGAAGTCATCATCTATTTGTTTGAGTAAAAAAAATTTTTCTTTTTTTCATTGCTAAAAACATTATTTGATACTTAAAAACATAATTGGCAAAATTAAAATTAATTTTCATATTGAAAAAATTAATGGATAAATAATAATTTTTTTTTTTATCTTGGTTACTATCTCTACTTTTCACTTATTAGTTTTAGTATTAAAAAATTAATGAAAAAATAATAATACTTTTATCGAATATTATATCGATTTTCAATTATTTTTTTCAGTTGAGCCAATTTACCTATAAATTTTAATTTTAGTGGGATCAATGTTAGGTTGATTGTCTTTTTTTTTTTTTAAATGGATCAATTTATCTTTAAATTTTGTTTTCAATGGGTTAATTTATTAATCACCCTATATTAATATATTATTATAAAAAAAATTTGTTGTTTAATATTGCATTTGAATAAAAATAACTTTTAAATATAAAAATTACTTTCCACAGTAATATTAATAGTAATGTTAAACCAGCCATCAGTTTGATTGATTATAAGAGCCTAAATATGAAGTGAATCTCATAGTTAGGAGGCGTTAAGCTATATCCATCACAATCACAAGTAATCTATAATTTCTTTAATATTTACAACCTGATATCTTGCTATTCAAGTGTCACAAGGTACTTTGTTATTAAATTGAAATAGAAAGAAAACTTATTCCATCGGTTTCAAATTAAATATTTACATGTATTTTTTGAATTGATATTTAATATACAGTGTAATTTTTTTATTTTCATAATTTAAATTAAAATTTTGTCACATATTTTATTTTTTAATTAATTTTTTATTTTTTAAATATACCTTAAATATAATTCTACTAATTCTGCTTGTGGAATATAAAAATTACGAATAAATAAAATATCTTATTTTTTGTCTGTTTCAAATTTATTATCTATTTTTCTCTTTTGAACATCTGCAAACCTAACCCTAATTATGTTTCATATTAATTTTAATACTTTTTAATTTTTTTGACATTAAAAATATATTAAAATACTATGATATATCAAATTAAAAAGTTTAAAATAATTGAAATGATTTCCCAAAATGATTTTTTTTAATTTTGCATATCTTTAGGACACAAATAAATACAATAAAATAATAATGTAAAAAAATTGAAAATATATATTATTTTAAAATGAAAAATAATTAAATTAATTTTCCTTTTAACATAAAAATGAGCCTTTTACTTCAAAATGGAATCTTACCCCTAGTTTTCAACCTTAGCAGGTGATAGGTCGGACCTATACTAGTCGGAAACTATCAAAAAGCCTATTGGGTACTTCTCTTAATTTTATTTTCTTCTAATAAATTCTTTATCATAAAATAATTGATAAATATTTTTTCTTTACTGACCCTTTTTATAATTCTTTATCATAACAAATTAACGCGGCTATCACTTCATTCCAACATATAAGAAGTTTAAAATGATCAAATTTCTACTTTTTAATTTTTTTTTCTTGATTTATTAACATTTTTGTAATTTTTCCAAATTGTGATTAACCCAGGAGAGCTCGAACGTAAAACAGAACAAACCCAAAATAATTTAAATTCAAAATAATACAAATTCAGAAGTTCCAAAGTGGAGAATGAGATGGCGAAAACAATATAATTCACAGCTACTTCCAAAGCATTTTTGTTTCATCTTTCTCTTTTCCTTGGCACCCAAACTTTGGAAGCATGAGAAGACAGTGTGTCATTCCACTTGTCTTCTTCACTACTTGAAGACTTTCGCTAACAAGTTGGAACAAAACCTTATCATTGACTGGCTTTTTACAACATTTGCAAGGCTTCCCGTATTCCCTCAAATGTTCTTTCTATACAAAGCTTCAACATACTCAAAAGAAAAGCTGAAAAGAGGATTGAGATAATTCAATTTCCCAAAGATTTTCTGAGAAAGGAAACAGTCATCGCTGATTTTTCAGAAATGCTTGAACAACTACAATGCTTTACCAATTTGATGTATTGAATTGAGTTTCTAAAAATCATAAAAAAATTGTGGAAACTACAAAATTGAATCAAGATTATCGCAAGAGCTGAGGTAGATGCAGCTAATTTATCAACCTAAGACTTCTTGGTTCAATGGAATTCCTCCATTTAAAATAAGCTCAACTTATTTTTATGCAATCATAATCATATAATGACCCAACTTCTATGCGTTCACTTGGTGGCAGTTTTGTTCTGGAATCGACTCCAATATGTCATAGTGACCATACCCATGAAATAGCACATTAATAGGATTCTCCTTGTCCTTCTGGTACTCTTCCCCGTAGTTTGCTATGTTTATCAAATTACCAGAGGTTCTATGACTCATGTAGACTGAAATTCGAGTCCTGAGACCATAAAATGGAAATGGTATATCAAATACAGAGGTCAAGTCAGACTTTAAAACATCGATTCAAATTCAAAGTCCACCTTTTAGGCTTGAATACCGCATAAGAAAAGAACAGTTTATGTTTTGCTTTGACATCATTCCATATGACACCAGCATAGTTCCACGCATAAGGCATATACACCAATAAAATGAAACATCAACAAAAAGCTGAGGTTATAACTATCAAATATTGGGTTAAAATTAGTTTCTTCACAAAATATGCAAATTGGCATGCTTGCACAGATATGCAAGATTTATGAAAACATGAGAACACAAAATGATGTAATTTCAGCATGGCAGAGGACCCTCAATTATATGTTCTTGGGAATATTCTAATTATGCCTGCTATGAAAACTCTGGAGTCAATAATAGCGGCAGACCAATTCATTAAAATAATGGCAATTTTTCAATTCACATCAATATTCATGAAGCATTCTCAAGAGCTCGTCTTAAATTTTTCATTTGTTTGCGGAAGGCATATTATAAAAGAATTCATGGGCAAATTCCAAATAGAAATAAACATGGTTAAGAAATAGCTGAAAACTCACTTCAAAACATGAGAAGCCATCAATAATTCAGGCTCTCCACCCCAAACGTAAGGATGTTGAATTTCCTTAATGTAAGCATCAAAATCTCCCTCAATAAACCTGCACTTATAGAAAGAAACCCCATGCTAAATAACAACTTCATACTTCATCAAAACAACAGGAAAAAAAAAAAAAAAAACGATACTTTACCATTCCGTTTCTTCCCGCCTCTTCGAAAGCTCATTCACAACCTATAGAATTCAAAATTTGGACAGGGAAAAACACATTCAACTCCTGTTACCATTTCTAAACAGCAAAAAGAAAAGTTTGTCCAGTTAAACCAATGACAAGACTTATTTGGAATTTCTTAGGTGAAGTTGCTTTTACATTTATACTTGCCAATAAATTAACACAATTAATTAAAACCATTAATTCAAGATTAAACCACGCCTAATTAGACCTAACAATTCAATTCATATATTTGTATTTGTATGTTTCATGTGTAATATATATAAAATACAAAAATTACCGTGTTTTAATTTGAGTTGATACGTTGAACACAAATCACATTTTATAGTTTTTGCCATACCTATATACGAAATTTTAAATCACATCATTTTTGTATATTTTTAGTTTAGCGTGGCATTTAAGATTGCCAGATCTATTACATTGTTAATTGTTAATTTCATTCAATATTTAACCCACATTGAGTTTGTAACTTTTCCTTTAATACAAACACCGATTCTACGTTTATATACATATAAATAAAGAAAATGAAAGGTCAAAAAGGGAAATGAAAGTTTTTTTATAAGAAAAAAAAGGGTATATGCACCCCTTGTTTAAATAATTAAAATTGATAAAAGAAAAGAAAAAAAATTCTAATAATCATTATTTGAATAAATAGTGAAAAGTAAAAAAAATAATTTATTATAATATATATTTTTTATTATAACTTTTTTTATAAAATAACATATAATATATAAATATACCTTTATACTATCTAATTTATATAAATAAATATTTTTAAATAAAATTAAATATATTTAATACGATAAAATGTATTAATTAATTATTAATTTACTTTTAATTTTGTATTTAAGTTAATTTTTTAATTTATTCTAATAATAATTTGATTTCTTTTGTTGATAAGATTTTAAAAATTATAAAATATTTATAAATAATCATATTATATAAAATATTTATAAAAAATTATTTTTATAAAAAATATTAATTATATAATCAAATATAATGTTATAATAAAAATATGAATATGATAATAATTTTATAAAAATAAAACTTTTTCAATTTTTTTTCTTAGCCTTTCTCCTAAAGATTAAAAAAAAAATCAAACCATATTGAATTTTCACTTTTTTTTTTTTAAATTAAAAGTTTACCGTAACAAAAGAAGGAATGTTTAAAGTGTGTTAACAGTAACAACAAATTTTAGCTAAGTAACTTCACTTAACTTACCTGAACTCTCAGCTCATCAGCGAGTTCTCTTTGACGATTCTCATCGGGAGCTTCTTCCCCACTCTTCAAGCAAGCTCCATGAGCAATTGCTCTGAAAAGACATCGCCCATCCGCTAAAACCCCTGCCAGTGCCAATCAAATATAAATTATTTTTTTTTCAAAAAATTAAATAAACCTTTTTTCTACAGGACTAATTTGTTAATTAGTTATAGCTAACCTGTAATTTTGTAATTATTAGCAGCAGCAGAACCCGAAGACGAACTATTTCTACTCTTCTCATAGGCGATGAAGCGATTTATTAAATTTAAGTCGGCGCCTTCGATTTTTTCATCAGCATCGGAATTAACGTCGACGAATTCAATCATCGGCTCCAGACAAGCGCAAAGTCCAAAGAGAAGCCAAGCAGAATCGGGGCGATGAAGCCACCGAGCCGGCCTGGCATCCCAAGCGACATTCCAGGAACCTTCACCTTTCCTCTCCACATTCTTCCAAACCCCCCCACTCCTCAAACCTCCCCCAACGCCGCCGCATGGCAAGATCGCGTGCCATATAGAAGCAGTACCGCCGTCTGAGCCGCCAAGCAGACAAGCCGTGTAGTGGTGCCTGCAACGCCGATTATCGGCTGATATGTCGGCGAAATTTGTCTGCCAGTGCACTAGACGGCTGTCCTGGTGGTGAGCCGCCGAGCCGCCGAGCCGCCGTGGGCGATGAGAGAGAGTGAGTTGAGGATCCAAGGCTTGGGAGCACGTGCACACAATACTCCTAGCATCACCGAACTGTTACTAATGAACGCCGGTTGATAAGGTACACGCTCTTAACCTACGCACCATTTCCACACATTTCAGCTCTTTATAGAAATATTAGTAAATTATAAATTCTCCAAAATTTCCGCTTTTTTCTTTGACGGCGAGAAAGATAGTGGGGTCCACGAGAAAATATGAGTTGTTAAAAAATTTCCAGATTGTTCCACATTTTGTGAATTTTTTCAGTTTTTTAAAATGTGAAATGACAAATAAATACGACCTCATGCATCTAATATACGGAGGTAGAAACGTAAGTTGAGTGATTGCGGTGTGAAAAAACTTTGGTAATGGCACGTGCAGGTCAAAAAAAATATTAGGGTCACGTGTCTGCTGGAAAGTTGGAAATATCAAAGTTTAATGACTTATTGGTTATACAGTAAGGGAAGGTGTTTGAGAGTTTCATTGGAACTGCATGCTTTGTAGGACAGGTGGGGAGAAGAAAAAAAAGAATTAAGGTAAACTGGGTATTTTAGTAAAATTATTGCCAATAAGGAATGAGGATTTTTTTGGTAAGTTAGCCGTATATGATGTACATTTTTAATTTACCTTTTGATAAAAAGGTAGGTGAAGATGGTTGTTGTCAAACCCTGTGGCATGCAATTTTTTTTTCTTATTTTTTGTTGATGCAAATTTTGCAATTCAATTAATGAGAATCTGCTCCCCAATACACATGCGATTTTCTTAGGCTTGAGTTAGATGCATGATGGAAGGGGTCTTAAAGCATTGTGCATGTTATTTTATGATTAAATTTGTGAATGTACAATGAAAAATATCTTATCACATATTCAAAGTATACTTTAATTGATAATTAAGTATGACATTTTAAAGATTAAGTTGTTATCTCTACGTCTAGACCTAGGTATTTGATCCGATGCTAAAATACACATATCTCTAATTGAAGAATTAAATGTAAATCCCTTTTCTTCCAACAATTACAATTTTTTTGCCAAAAAATCAAGTCTAAAACTAAATAAAAACTACATTGTTTTCTCAATAAAAATATAAAATAAAAAGATAAATTATTTTGCACATGAATACGATTAGAGGCTCTTCATCTAATTTTTTTATATTAAAATTATAATTAAATATTATATTTAGATAATTAATTGAATAATCAACTATTACATTATAATCAACTTATAATTATTAAATAATCAATTAACAAACTATAACATAATTAAAAAATCAAACCCACAATAAAACGTAAACTTAGTTAGGACTTCAAGACAATATCTTATTGGCACTGTTAGTGAAGTTTTTAAACTTTATAAGAGAGATTAATATGATAACATATAACTCTTAAGTTATATATAAATATAAAAAATTAATTAAAAATTAATATATATATATATATATAGATGTAAATCTTTTAACTCCGCTTAAAATTAAAATTTATATTAACATGTATCAAATTCTAATTCAAAGAAAAATATCTAAGAAGAGAGAATATATTTTTTTTGCATTATTATTTACTCTCCTTTCAATTTTGTTTGTTAATTTTTTAATATCTCAAAACTATATTATTTTGTAGACATTTAATAGGCATTTTTATTCATGATTTTTTAATTTTTTTTCGGTATTTTGACATTAAAAATTATGAAGAATTAATTTTAGAAAAAAATTTAAAATTTTAGTAGAAAATACAATAAAAGTAATATTTTGTTTCTTTAACTTGGTACAAATCAAATAAAGACAACAAATTTGAGATGAAAATAGTATTATTTAATTTTCATTAGATATGTATAGGATGAGGAGAAGAGTAATGGTGGGTATAACAACGACAAGTACGTTCCTTTCTATAAACAAAAGGATTATGTGAGAGAATTTATTATTGGCACTAAAATCTATACCATACTTTTTCAAGAAACGAGGGAAATTATATCTTGGAAGCACAAAGTTTTGTATAGAACGACATCCAATATAAACAAACAAGAAGCTCGTAGTCATAAGGCGCCTATATTCAACACAATGTAATTTAGTAAGTTTTAATATATATATATATATATATATATATATTTGAGGTATTGTTATGTATAAATTTTATATATTATTAGTAAATCAAATAATATTATTTTATTGATAAAATTTTTTTATAATTTTATTTGTTGTGTATTTATTTTTAAAAATTTTTAAAAATTTATATTTAATTATTAATAAAATATTATTATTTAATTTATTAATAATATATAAAATTTATACACTCGCGGAGCAGTGTAATGTCTAGTGGGCCTTAAACCCCTCTAATGCCAAAAATATGAAATCACGTGTTCTAGTCACAAATAAAAGCCCAAAAAACTTTTCATTGGTTTAATTTATTTGTTATTGAGATTAGTATTGATTTTACCGGTAGTAATTTTCATAGTGGAGAGTATTTTCAGCTAGCAATGAACATTTTGAAGACCCGTTTGCATAATTAAATGAGAAATCAATAGTTGAATGATAGTTTAGTTGTGTATATTAAAAAAATTAAGTGTTAAATATTTATAATAAAACTATTGTGCAAGTTTTTCAAAACATAAAATCATGTCAAAGATAATTATAAAATTTTAATAATTATGGTGGGGTATCAAAGTTTTAATTTATTATTATTATTGTTGTTTTTTTTTTAATAATTTAATATATTTAAACTAAGTTTCCATTTAATAAAATTTTTAACTTCACGTGTGTGTGTTTAAAGTTATTTCATACATTCAAACATGATTAAAAATTGACAAATGTTTTAATTAATTAACAATTAAACACGTATTAATTTTTTTAATGTTATTTGTGAAATTTAAATTTTCATTGTCATGTATAAAATAATAATTTTATAAAATTTTATCAATTAATTTATATTTTTAAATAAAAGGGAATTACTTTCCGATCCTAGGGGAGAGTATTTTCTAATATATGAGGAGCTTTATACCAAAAGTTTGATCATCGTAAATGACTAAAATCACGAGAAGAGAGGTTTTTTTATACCTAGACACATGATTATGGTTGTCAAGGCATGAATGTGGAATAACTTTTACAACTCATTCTCGGATTAATTGGTAGAAACGGGGAGAAGCATAAGTAGATCCCCAAAGCCCCAAATGTGATTTAGAAAATATCAACTTTAACTAGGATGTCACTTATATTTAATGAAAATTTTGATTTTTTTACTTGAATGAAAATAAAAAGGTGTATTACATTATATAAAAAAAAGATTTAATTTTAAATTTTTATTAAATACAGAAATGAGAATGATTAATATAATAGTCACTCCATATTCATATCTTATTGTATATTTATATGTTTAGTAAATGAATTTTTTATTAAATAATATAAATTATTACTTTATATTAATTAGTTGTAATATATTTTTATTTAAAAAATATTAATATATATTTATAAAAAATTACATAAAATATATAAATTAAAATTTTATTTTATTTTTATAAAAATTATGAATATAAATATTATTTATATTCATTAAATATTTATAAAAACAAAGATAAAAAATTTTAAATACCTATAGATATGAAGATAAATATAATATAAAAATTCAAAAATAAAAATATTTTAATCATCTCGTACTCTAATAACCGATATCTCTAATTTAATTATGAAACTCAAAAACAAAAAAAAAAAATGAAAAGAACAAAGAGAGAATCAAACAACTTAATTGGCTGTCGTTTTAAAATGGCACTTTCGATGGTTTTTGCTTGTCATTGCGTAATAAAACTCCTTTCCTTTTTTTTTTTCGTCCTTTTTCTTCCATGCTTTTGCGAATCTACGTCACTACTTCAATTGTCATTTTTGCTTTAAATATTGGAGACGGGAATGTAGGGACAGTCAAACTGGCATCGCTTTTGGGCACTTGAATCCTTGTAAAGCCACGTCATTCAAATATTTTTATAACATTTCGAGTGTCTCACAGTGTCACGGGTCGAGACTTAAGCTCCGAACTCGCGCGGTTCCGGGACCCAGGCATTCACCCTTCCGGCGTCCCGAATCAGTCTGACCATCACAGTTCACACCCTTGTGAGTTATTGTCCGCATCTGGCCCCTCCTGCTCACCATGGTTTTGTCTTACAAAAGGCGCCTCACAAGACGGAGATGGTGTGAACCCTTTTTACCCCATGGACCTTTCTATTATGTTCGATGTGCGGATCAGGACTCTTCTTAGGTCCGTGACATTCTCCCAACACTTCAACCTTCGTTGACGCCCTCGTCAGCGAAGGTGACCACCCTTGCCTGCCTCCCTTGAGGTGGCTTGGTGTGGATCGAACGATTTAGGGCTGGCTCTGATACCACTTGTCACGGGTCGAGACTTAAGCTCCGAACCCGCGCGGCTCCGGGACCCGGGCATTCACCCTTCCGGCGTCCCGAATCAGCCTGACCACCACAGTTCACACCCTTGTGAGGTATTGTCCGCTCTGGCCCCCCTGGCCTCACGGTTTTGTCCTACAAAAGGCGCCTCACAAGACGGAGATGATGTGAACCCTTTTATACCCCAGGGACCTTTCTATTATGTTCGATGTGGGATTCAGGACTCTTCTTTAGGTCCGTGACACACAGCGTGTGCCATTGTGACTGACACTAAAAACCTCACTCGAGGTTTGCTTATAAAAATAAATTTATAAATTTATAAAATTGATAAATATTTTGATAAACATAAAATTCCTCTTCAGTATGATTACATGAAATTGACACAAAAACTATGCTTATATTCAATGGAGAATCTTGATATTTGATTTTGAGAAGACCAACTAAAATTATTTTTTCATTTGAGATATTTCATTATATTTATTTAGCATAAAAAATATATGCAAACAATATACTCATAAAAATAATAAGCTCATATAATTATAAGTTTTATCAATTTATAAATAAAATTAAAAAATATATTAAAAAAATCTTTTATAAAGTGGTAATAATCCAATTAGTGATAAAAAAAAATTGTAGGTGCAAGAGTGTCAAAACTCTTTAAAAGAAGATTTTCATAAATGCTTAAGATAAGTCAATTTATAGAACACTAAAACAAAAATTAAAAATTATTTTAAGTTCTTGATGAAATACAAAAGTTTTTTAAAATTACCATGTAATGATAAGAAATTTAAGAATATATATATATAAATATATATTTTTAAGAAACAAATTTTATCATCAATTTTGACTTGATAAGAGAAGTTGAAGATTAAAAGGAGTTGTAGTAAAAACAAAATAATAAGCAAATTGTATTTTCTTTATGTTTGTATGATTGTAACTTATTTTTTAACAAATTTATTGATTTTAAAGGTTTGTGAATAATGATTGATGGGTATAATAAATAAGTGATATTGTGAATTTATTTTTTAATTAATAATATATAAAGAGACATTATAATAATAAAATTAACTAATAACATTAATTTTAGAAAATCATTTTAAATTTATTTAATATAAATATATACCCTACTAATAGAAAACCATTTCAAAATTATTTAATAGATATGCATTCAAATACATATATATATATAGTTATTTAAAATCGAAAATGTTTATTTTTAAAAAGCAA